CATATCGTGTTGCTCTGCCTCAGTCAATGCAGTACCTTCCAGTAGTGTAGCCACCATTGCATCTTCTAACGTACCATCCACTGCAATCTCAACCGAACAGCTATCATCGGGTGCTACCAGTGCTGCTGAGGTGCGTTCACCAAGGCGGGCGGCCATGAGCACTGTCAGTCCATCCCATTCCAGTTGTTTGGACGCGAAAAGTATATTCCTTGCCGCGAAAGAAAATCCTTCCCCAGATTTACAGGATAAAGTAGAGTAGTCACCACACGAAAGTCATGCACCACTACACGCGTAGACGAGAATACTGGCAACGCAATCTGCGTTGTTGCCACGTGTGTAGTTATCCCAACAGTTTTATCCGCCTCATAGTAGGTCGCCTCGCTGCGTGTCAGCACCAACAACTCTTTGGTCCTGTTCACGACCGTCTCCTCTATCGCTGATGAAGAGCAACCTGTGTCGATTAAGGCACGGAAACGGTGTGCCCCGATCAAGACTTCTGTCTCCATCATAGGCTCAGATCGCACCGAAGTAGCTGGCACCGGGCGGCGCGCTTGCAAAGGCGCTTGAGTGTCCACCTCAGCACGCGGCGATGGCAGCGGCGTGCTCTCCACAGCGAACACACTCATTTCCTCGATCCGATAGAATCTCATCGCACTGAACTCTTCATCCTGTCCTTTTTTTTCATTGCCTCCATCATCGCAGCCATCTGCGTCACCTGTTCCTGCATTACCGCAAAGGTATTGCGACTTTGGTGACCGGCATGGTCACCTCGAGGCTTGTACGACGGGGAGTTCGGGTTACGGAAATACTCTGTGTCCAGATGCCCCTTCTTATTGCAGTACGTGCACTGCTTTGGCTTCGACCGAGCGGTCTTCTTTCCGCTTCGGTCGGGCTGCTGCGAGCCCTGATGGTGTCGTTCGGACGTCTTCGTGGGTTTGCCCTGTTGCTCGCCTTGCCGTCGTTGCATCGAGCGACCGCTACGCAGCACCTCTGCCTCCTTCTCGTTCCGCTCAATAGCTTCGAACTTGGCCTCCATACTCGCGAGATCCCAAGTCCGGGCATGGCGATTCAGTTCCAGTTGCCAATCGTTCGGCATACCGGTTTTAGACATGCGTGTTAAGTCCGCCTCTGGGACCGGGTCGTTTTCCTCGACAAAAGAAATCATACGCAGCAACTTGCGAAAGTTGCGTGCATACTCACGCACTGTCATCGTGCGTGTCTTTTTCGCTTGCACCAGCTCGTCCATGATCAGAGCCCGAGTTCCAGGAGGGCAATGGACTGTAGTCAGCCGACGCAAGGCTTGGAGAGCGACGTTGGTGCTCGTCAACTGCTCCTCAGCCACGATCTCGCTGAACATCAGCAAGTCATCGTCCTGCAGTAGAACCTGAACGTCTTCAACGAAATCGAGCTGGTCTTCATCGCTGTGAGTGTACCCCATGAACACGAAGTACTCCGACAGACGCAAGAGCCACTCGAGCCACTCCTTCCAGTCGCCGTCGCGAAACACGGGGACTTGCTTCTTCACTACGCTGCCATTGCTCTTGACCTTCTCGAACGTCACTTGTTCGGACATGTTGGCGC